GGCGGGGCTGGAGGGGTCCGCCCGCCCCGAGCCGGCCGCTTCGCGTCGCTTCCCTCGGCAACAAGTGCGGGCTTTGCCTCCGCGGCCTGCGGCCGAGCCGCCTCCTGTCATGAGGTCCCGCGGCGCGGCGGTGCGCTGCGGAGGGAGGCAGGGAGGGGAGGGCGGCGGGCGGGCCGGGGGCATGAGGCAGCTCTGCCACCTCTTGCGGCCTCGAGAATTCCACAGCAGGCTCAGATGGGTGTGAAATTGTTGTAAGAGGGAGAGAGAAAATGTCTCCTGTGTCCGACCGCAAAGCGTGCCCATCTCAAAGCAGATTCCTAGGCACGGACTGTTGCCCGTGATTCAGGGCTGGCTTTTCACGGCCAGCGTATCCCAAAATAACTCGGAATATATTGTGCCTCCTCCAGGGCCACAACTCCCCTGCCACTGAATTCTCCCCTCCCATCAGTTGCATCAATAATAATGCCTCCCACAATTCCTTCATTGCTCTTTCCCAGCAGTCAAGTCTGGTTTTTGGTGTTCCCTTCCCACTGTGGTGATGGCCTTGCAGCCTTGGTTCCTCTCTTAATGCTGACACTTACCGTGATATTTTCCATTTTGTCGCCATGCTGAAATACGTTTCTCATCTTTGTTTGCAATGCTCTCCGCCCTTCTGCTTTGGGTCCATCCCGAAGGTTTACTTTCCATCGGAAGATGGAAACAAATACATGTGTTAAATATGGTTACTACTAATCACGAAGCATAGTGCATGCCCTTTTCTGCAAGGTGATCACTGTTGTGAGATGTACTGCAGCTTCACCTGCCACGAATAAAGGTTTTCTGATGTTCTTCACTCCTTATCCTGAAGAGTTACTAGATCATGAATCAAAACCAGGCTGGGAGGTTTGTGGCCTAAAGTCAAAGAGATTGAAGCAATGATGACATGAGTATATGGTATTTGTTATTTGCTTTCACATACGATTATGGATTAAGGGAAAAATAGGAGATTGTGAATTAGCGTGAGAGAAGAAGTGGAGAGAGAGCAGGAGAAAAAGGAATGGGGTAGGGAAAGTGCACGATGAAAGTATGTTTTGGGGGACATCAGCAATCAATAAACAGAAAATATCTGGAACTGGTATTTCAGTTAGTTTGTTAGGCACTCAGGCAGTCTTGGTAACACGGGCCTCCACACTCCTCGTGCCCATTGGAAGTGTTCATCTCCCAAGGGCGGGCTTTGCTGAGGAAGGGCGAAAAGGCATGACAAATTATATTGCTTCTTGGATTGATTTCATAAACGGAGCAAAGAAAAACACGGCGGTTCGGAGACCTCAGTAACAGTAGTGTGTGGTATTAGACTTTGCACATCTGTTTGTCTGCTCACTTATACTACGCCACCAGTGGAATGGCATCATACGTTTGTCTCTCTTGTGCTAGTATCCTGAATACCAGAGCACTGCTGTTACTGCGGTCTGATTTTGCCAGCAAATGTATTGCTTAAGAATATTCTACAAGGCATCCATGTTTTCTGACTTGGGGAGTGTCACAGATTGCAAGTTTTGTAGCTTTTGGATCTTTCAGTCTGGAGATGACGTGCCATGATAATCACCAAAGAAGGGTGGTTGGAGAACTTGGGAGTAAACAATTTAGGATAAGGCAATGGATAATTGCTTAGTCTCGACTACAGTTGATACGGGGATGCAAATAGATGGGAACTCTGTGTGCGTTTGTGTGTATGTGGCTAGAGTCTGACAAGATGAAAGTAACTGTTACAAAATAGTGGCTACTTCAAGTGCAAACTGCAATGGGTCATAAAAACAAATGGTAGGAAATTACTCTTTTTTCCACTTTGCAGTAGTATTCAGAGATCCTATCATGCTAACGCTGAATAAACACCCTTTGAGACACTCTCGTCCCTGAAGAGTTTGAGTCATATTTAGTCCTCTGTTACCAGTGGGAACCTTGGATAACGTCACTGCCTTTTACTATGGATGTGCACTGATGTAATGGAGTAGAATCTGGCCCACGGTTGTTGGTATGGTAGGGAGTAATGACAGTATTCATTGTCAGCTCAATATTCAGCAACATTTAAAGAGGGCATTACAAACTTCTTATCATCAGTTATTTTCATCTGTGTCAGGATGTAATCTCTTTTTTACTGAGATACGACAATAAACTTGTTTGCACATCTTGAATATTCACAAAAATAGGTAATTTGTCATGTAAAACTTCCTTAGCAAGCAAAATGGAACAGATTTTTTTACTTTATGGTGCTTACAGCACTTGAAACAAAACACAGTAATCAGAGCTTTTGGACTAATGCGGGCAAAAGTTTCAACATATTACTTTCTTTTCTTCATTGTGTGGGAAAATAAAGAAACTGTAAACATAATACTTTCTTTGTAGCTGATTCCTTTCAACCAAGATGGAAAATTTTTAGAGGAAAAAACTAAAGACCAATAAAGGGGACGCTAATTCTTTGCATTCTATCCCCAATACCAGAGCAGTTATGATGGCTTTTTTTTATTATTTTTGTCTTCCAGTTTAGCACATTACATATGGTGTATAATTTGCTGACAAAAGTGGAATCTTGAGGTTTTGAGTTTGTTTAAACAACAGCCTCCTGAGTCGGGAGGCTGGTTTTCCAGGCATTCCTGTGCTTGAGTAATGATGCTACCTTCTAAGGGTTTATGTGTTCATATGTCTGTCCTCCACAAATAACTGTCCTATATATTTTAACAAATTAGGCAGGTACCTGCTACAGGAGATGGTTACTGATTGGATTTGTCTTACTCCATCCAATTAAAAACTTCTGTCACTGCTGGGTATGTGTATCTGTATGAGACTGCAGGTGCATTTGTCTTCACTGTTTTTCCTACTGCTCTTGACAAGTGACTGAAGCAGGGAAAGAGGAGGAAAAAAAAGAGACTTTCAGAAACAAGAGATGGGGAAGATGTATAGTACAGAATTTAGCAAGAAGGTTCCCATAGGTAAGGTTGAACAAGTAATGGATGGAAGTTGTTTCTTGCCTGAAGGATCTCATTCCAACCCCCAAAATCTTGAGGATCAAGTAACTGTCAAAGGTTATACAGCTTTTAAAGTTCCAGATTAAAAATAATTAATCTTAGTTTGTGAACACAAACTGGAGGCGTAGTGTATTCTCACTCTGCCATGAACAGCAAAGAGAAAAGTTGCAGAAAGCGTACAAAGACCAGCAATAGCACTAGGTGTAGCTGGTGGCAACGTGTGCACTGTGAGGCGTGTCGCTGCTCCAGTGCGCCCTGAAGCTCTGATCATCCACTTCTCAGATGGGAGGGACCTGTTGGAGCATGCCTGCTTCCTTCCTTGTCCACATACCCATATTTTCTTCCAAAAAACCCCTAGGGCACATGGGATGATGAGGTAGGTGAAAGGAATATGGGCAGATAGATATGGAAGGGCAATGGCAAGTCCAGGAGGTCCTGCTCTCCTTTCTGGATGACTGGATAACCAGGACTACTGTCTGTGTTACAGAGAGCACCTGGGCTTCCTTGTAGACAGAGCTGTTGAGTAACCATCTGCATATCTTAATGCACCATGCCTAGGAGACACAATACCTTATTAATAATACGTTTTGAAGAAGAAGAATGAATAATGACTTATCTACTTAGATCTGAGTTCCACCTTTCTCCTCAAAAGCTGTCTTCTGTAGTAGTGGGTAGATGTGTGTAAGGTTCCCATTGGTGATGTCAAGCATTTGTCTTGTAAAAATATTTCTCTGAACTGGGGGAGGAGGCAGCACTTTGGTTTTATGTTTTGGGTTTATGGTGTGCTGAGTTAGTAGCTTGTATTTTTCTGTCTTAATGGTGTTCTCTTAGCTTCTACAGTGGGACTCCTCTGCTGTCACCTGCTCAGAAGGAAAGAGTCTGCACGTAGTACTCTGTACATGAGTACTCTTTCACCATTTATTGTATTTGGAGTTAAACCATTGGTAACAGTAGTGAGAAACTACAGGGAAAAATCCTGGTATAGTCAGTTTTATGATATTTTATCGTATTGGGGGTTGGACTACTTGACCTTTAAAGGTCCCTTCCAACCCAAACCATTCTATGATTCTACATTTTGACCGTGCTGCTTTCTGGTTTGCTGGAGGATCAAATGAAGAATTATCTGAAGTCTCGTGGTTTCTGGGGTGACCTTTGTCGCTGAGGAGAATAAAAGATCGTTTAAAGGGGCTGAAATGAACAGTCTTCCTTGGCGTGACAATGCATTAATTGAAGTGCTGGCCAGCGCTCTTGCAGAAAATTAATGTCATATTTTACAGTGTTGTAAAATAAAAATTTTAGATTGCAAACGAGAAACTTTTCTGCTGTGTATCAACTATTTAATAATAAATATATATATATTTTTTTTTTCTATTCTAGTCAGGGCAGTTCACAGAAGATATGATTCCCACAGTAGGCTTCAATATGAGAAAAATAACAAAAGGAAATGTTACTATAAAGGTAGGTGTGCATGTTTGAATTAATACAGAGTGAGTAACTAATAGACAAAGTGATTTAAACTTGGAATGTGAAAGCGTGTGAAATTTCTTTTAAGATGATAGGATCATTTATCTGGTTTTATGGCTCAATAATAATTTTTTAAAGCGTATAGTTTTATATTTCTCTGTTATGTTAATGTGTTTGATTTCATTATGTCCACACCAGGCAGAAGCTTTGTTGTGCTCTTTCGGGTTAAAAAGGTCATAAAATTCTGAGATGGTAAGGGAGCTGAGTTGACTCCTGGAGCTGCCTTGCTTTTTTCCCTCTCCCAGCTGTAAGTGAAATCTGAAGCAACTTCACTCTTAACTTACACATCTCAGCGGAGAGTGCAGTTTAACTCGCATAATGTTAGCTATACGGAAATATAACATCTAACATAAGTCAGTTGGGGGACCATCTCTTAGTCTTATAGAGAGGTATAGATGATGCCACTTTGGTTGTGATTCATGCCATAGGCATCAAAATAGAGATAAATCACTCCAGTAGCATTAAGTCCCTCTCTGTTGTTTGATTATGAAGGGAGCCTGCTTGATGAGTCCAGATCAAATTCATAACTTCTATCTAAAATTAGGTGAAGGGAATACAGGTTTTTGCCTTTACATTGACTTTTCCCTCCTTTTCCTTCATTTTCTCTCCTTCCTCCCTCAGTTCTAAAGATACTCTTTTTCCTCTGGTTTGGTGTGACTCCTAAACCTAGGGAGGATTTTCTCAAATGACCTGTAATGTGAATAAAAGCAGTTGTTAACTGTCTACCCATTCTATCTAAATTGTGAGCAGGTAAAGGGTGGTAACAGGGGTAGTTGACTTCTGTTGGTTGGGAGATGTTGAAACTGAACTGAAACCCCCTAAAACTGAAATGACCATAGTGGTATAAATACTGTGACTGCCTGTCTGTTTCTGATCTTAGTATCTTGCTATACTTTTTCAAAATGTCACATGACTGTGACTGCTGTACATTTCACTTGTGTATCTACTTCTGTGTTACAAGCTTGCAGATTAATCAGTAGGTTCCTCTACAACTGCTTGTACATTACAGTGCCTAATAAGCCAGTCTTTTGAAATCTATTGAAATGGAAAGTCTAATGTCACCCAACTATTTCCTCTCATCACCCCAACCCTCCTTTCCATATACCCTCTTGAAATTCATGTCAGGTTTGGCTGAAATAAAAACTCTTAACATTATCCATGGTCTGATTTTAATTTCCCAGGAAATTTTGGCAGATTGCCAAAAAAAATGATGGTGAGTATCTTAAAACTAGGTCCACAGTAAAGACTAAAAGACTTAAAAGGAAAATGGAGTAAAATGTAAAATGGGGTAAAAGTAAAGTGGAGGAGGATCATTATTGCCTTGGTAACCTCAACTTTGTGACTTTGTGCATGATCATTATACGTACGTGATTAGAGCCTGCTCCGGGAGAGAATCTGACCTCATTCTTAGCACAGAGTAGGTGAGCAAGAAGACAAAGTAGCATCATATAAGCATTTTTAATTCACACGTTTCCTGAAAGGTAAATGATTGATAGAAGCCTAAACTTTATTTTTGTTGTGGATGGGGTGCGTGTGAGTTTCAAAAATCCAAACTGTCACATGATGAGCACTGCAGTACTCAGTGCCATGTGTCTAAACTCTTCGTCAAAGTAAAAAGTCAAGGCTAGCATTACTTTACACAGCAGGCAGCTCTCTGAAAACAGAGGAATTTATATGGCAATATGAGTAAGCCTGTATCAGTTGGACTTTATCTGAGGAAAACGTAGGTGACCAGAATCAAAAGCCTCTCCGCATTAATTCTTGCAGTCAACCCCCTATGCTCAGTTTATTTTGGAGACCTATGAATCAGAAAGAGTAAAAGGTAACTGGTCTTTCAGGAGACAGAAGTAGTGCACAAGGTGCATGTTCTGCTGAGTAACAGTTATGCAGCTTTTTCTTGTAAATGGAGGCTGTTATTTCATGATGCTTTCTGTTAGTTCTTATGAATGCTATGTTTGAAACTGGTGAAAAAACATAGAATTTCATCGATGATGAGGTTTCATTTCTGGTCTTGGCCCTTCTTCACCTCTGTTGTCAGTATATACAAGATCATCCAAGCTCTTCCTCATCTCTGCTGATTCATTTCTCTGTGGCCAGCTGTGCTTGTGGCAGTGCGTACACTACATTTAAGGCAAAGCTGGTAAGGGCAAATTACAATTTACAGGAACATCTGCTTTGATTGCAGTAGGGCAGTATTCATGCTGCATAACAAGAAGGTATACTGATTGGCCGAGAGCTGTTTCCTTTCTTTCCTTGCTATGGAGTTTCTTGCCAGCTATCCTCATGCCCTTAGCCTCTCCTCATCAAACATATTCCCCTCTTCCACTGCCTGGTTTCTTTGTGCCTCAGCCATTTGCATATGCACACAAAGGCCAAACCCTAACTACCTCATTCCTCAAAATACCCACTCCTATCCCTTAAAGAGGAAGCAGCAAATGTCCTCTCTTAGTCCAGGAGTGAGTTTGTCAGCAAATGAGAAAAAAAAATTCTGGTCTTGGGTCCCTCTGTTGAATGTGTTTCAACAACCATCCATGTGTTGCTGAGCAAAGAGCTGAACTCTGCTACAGAAAGAACATACTTCAGCCTAACAGTAGCTTGGTACATCCCTGTTTATCTTCTCCCAAAAGAATGCCTTTTTGATCAAAATCGGAACTTCTGAATATTTTTTCCTTTGGGGTCCAAATTCTACTTTGCAAACAGAATCTTTCCTGTAAAGGGAAATAAAACCAGCCCTTCTTAAAAAAAAAAAAAAAAGTCACAAAATAACCTTTTAATACACCCACTTTTCTGCCTGTGGTAGCACTTCTAAACCTCAGTATGATGTTTCTCATGCTGCGGACAAACAGAGTTACTTTCTGGGAAACCTAAAAGGGAATCAGGCCAGCCTAGTGAGGGTGGCAGAGATTAAAGTTCAGCTTTTGCAATCAGCTTAAGTAGATCATGGTGTGAGTTTTATATTCTACTTTAAGCATGGCCCTGCACCCTTGCACCCCTTTTCCATCAGCACCAGTGATCACATGGCAAAGCGGTAGTCATATCCACCAACTAATCTAGATGAAAGCAACCTCTAAAAAACCCAACCAAACCTGCCCCCATGCTAGTTTCTCCCCAGTCAAATTACCCAAGTAGCGTGCTCTGGAAACAGCTGTGTGATTGCTGGTGCCCCCACAGTGTGGGAAAGCAGGACACAGACACAGGCAAAATGATACATTTTGGGGGCAGCCTGGACAGATTGACTTAGATAGCTGCAAAACACCATATTTAGAGTGCAGAATCTGGACAGGAAAAAAGCAGTCTCTCCATTTGGTGAGAAAAATGAAATTTTCCTTCATCCTTCCACTCTGGTAGCTGCAAACTTTTAAGCACAGCTAACACTGCCTGTTGCTGGAGGGCTGCCAGAATTATGTGTTCAGTACGCACAGATAGACTGCTTGTGGATTCAGATGGATCAGTGACAATATTTAAAAAAAATAATTGTTTAATGCTATATTGTTAGGATTTACAAACTATGGATGGTGTTAAGTTTTCTAGTCCTTATAATTAATTCATGATTCATATTAATTATGAAAGAGAATTTATGGAGAAGTCAATGGGCATTGATACCAGAACACTCTGATTGATGTACTAATTGTATAGATTTTCCCCCCCAAGATTCTGTTCATTATACACAAATTAACATGTACAGTAGCTATGACAGCAAATTAAATAGTGTATTTGCAACAAGAACATCAGGGGTACTGCCTTACAAGTGCAAATGCGTCGGAAGGCCATCCCATGCTTTCTTGACCTCTTACACGTCAATGGCAGGGGTGTAAGAGAAAGGGACCAGTGATAAAATTGTGATTAGCATTGTGATATGAAGCAGCAAGTGCAGACTCACAAGCAAAAACTGTTTGTTTCAGTTTAAGTAGTCAAACTGTCTTAAGTTTTCACTCATTCAAAGAGGTATTTTTTTCTTACTGTTCTTTCAGGCATGCAGGTGTTCTTTGTCCTCCTGCCTGAGCCTTCCCTTCTCTTTCAGAAGACCACATTTGTACTGATGCAGTACCTTCCACTTGAGCTTTAGCAATGCTTCCAAATTCACCTAGGAGAGGATTCTATTTTAATTATTCTTAAACATCAGTTTCATACACTTTTCATTGCATCTGCCTTTGTTTACCACTGATGTAAGAAGTCCATAGATGCCACAGTCAATAAAAAACTTACTGCATTCAACCATAGTTCATAGATAATCCACAGGAATAGGAATTTCCTTTCAGTTCCCTTGTTTTCTGTCTTTTGTATAGAAACAATAAGGCCATGATTTAGAGTTTATATAGAGAAAGCATAAAGATAGTTGGAGTGCTATACTGATGCTGCTACAGAATTGTCAGATGTGGAAGAAAATGAAAGCTGTTGATGGTTCATTCGACTAGGGAAAGAAAAGTAATTTGCAAGTAGACAAAGTCTTCATAATAAAGTATTTTTTGAGCCAGGATAGTTCAAGTAGGTGAAGGAAATAGTTGTCTGCACAAATGATATTGCAAGATCGAGCTCATGCAGGAAGGAGGTGCGTGAGTTTCTGTGGAACTGTGCCTTGTTTTACACTTTCATCTCAAAAGTCATGTTATATATAGTTGTTATAACAGAGTTGTTAAGAGTAAGAGGATAATGCTAACAGTATGTTTATTAGTTTGAAAAACAATACTTGGTTTGGAAGCCAGTCTGCACAGAAAATAATTTATCTTAATCAATTCTCATGGTCTCTCTGCTACAACAGCATACAGTGAAGGTAAGAGGTGTAGGGAAATATGGATGTTATGTATAGACGCTTACTTCCTTAAAAACCTGTCAAGATGAAGTACTTGTATGTCACTATTCCTCTGTCTAGGTAAGCTGTTAAAATTTTACAGTCTAATTGCTAGATAAAGTTTCCAAAATTTTTTTGCTATGAG